CACTGACCCTCAAAGGGTCTCTTCCGGAAACATCAGCGGCCCATTGACTTGGTGACGTCGTGTGGCAGCCCCCAAAAGGATGAAGTTGTCTGTCCATCTTTCCCTACCAAAGATGTGGCGAAGTATTACTGCCAACTATTTTTAAAAGATTCTTTCGTATCCGTTATTTAGTATTTACTTATTTATGGCTTGCCCTCTTTCGATTCCCCGCTTCCATCTCCGGACTCACCACCCTTTTTTTATATAGAAAAAATAGACTTCATCCACTATCTATCAAGTTTCTTTATCAACTTTAATGAATTTTAAAACTCCTTTTTTTTTTCTTTTTTTTTCTTTTTTTTGTCGTTAGCCTAGACGAAAGCCTTCCAGAAATTATCAGCAGCTATTCGGCCCCTGAGGGGGTTCGAAATATCTCTTTCTTTCTTTCTTTCTTTCTTTCTTTCTTTCTTTCTTTTTTTTTTTTTTTTTTTTTAAGATTGTCGGCTTTTTATTAAGGCCCAGTGCCCAAGGCCNTTTTTTATTCTAAATTTGGTGAAGAATTTCGATGTGACCTGAGGCAAACGTTGTTCAGTTTAGTTTTCTGCATAACATACATAGTTTTTTTTGGAGTTTTTGTATTGTTTTTATTTTTTTTGCTGGGACCTTCCCTGGTCCTTGCACGGGCTGGCCACCCGGGACCCGGACGGCCCGGCTGATAGCCTATACGATATATATATATATATATATATATCGTCAAATAGAACTGCCCGGTAAACCGTAGGCAGAGAGGGAGAAGAGGACAACAAACGAGGGGTATATATATATATCGTCACAAACAGAATATATATATATATATATACAGGGTTACCAGCCCGTACGTACGGAGGTCCCTAGGCAGACCTCCGTACGTACGGGCATTTGGGGTCCCGTACGGGGTCCGAACCCGACGGCGTTCGGCCCCCGCCAAAAATTATTTCGGGGCCTAAAATTACTTTTTTTTTTCTGAAGTTTTTTTTGTGATTTCTCTATGACATGAGGTATACGTCTGTAAATTTTCAAGTCATTTGGCTCAGCCAACTCAGAATTAAAAATCGCCAAAGATGGAGGTGTCAAAACGTGCTTGCCCACGTTTTTTTTCACTTTTTACTTTTTGTTTTCACTTTAGTTCGGGTTCTAAACAATTTGATTATTTTTTGAAACTTTTTTAGTGTGTTTTGCATTATGTGAAGTACACATATCTAAATTTTCAGGGAATTTATCTATTTTAAAAAAAAATGAAAAATCGCCAAAGATGGCGGTGTCGAAAATGTGCTCGCGAACTCACGAAATTTAATTCTTTTTTTATTTTTTGTTATTTTTATTATTAGTATTTCTTTTTCGTAATTTATTTTTATTTCAAATCTGGCACGGAATTTGGGTGTAATGCTCGGGCAAATCTTGTTTAGTTTACTTTTCTGCATAACATATCTTTTTTTCAGATTTTTTTGATGAATTTGTTTTTTTTTCTTTGGGTCCGCGTTCGGCCCGAACGGCCGAACGCATCCCCAAGGGGTCCCATACGTTCGGGCGTTCGGGTTCGGGCGTTCGGCCCGTCCCGAACGCCGGTTACCCTGTATATATATATATCATATATATATATATATGTATATATATATATATATCGTCACAAACAGAACTGCCCGGTAAACCGTAGGCAGAGAGAGAGAAGAGGACAACAAACGAGGGGCTGTGACAAACTGTTTCGTCGGAGTTTCACCGACTCATCAGGATATATATATATATATATATATA